GATAGCTAACTTACAGCTTCATATGGCTTCTGAAGTAGACATAACAGTTCGATATTAAAGCAAAGGCCTTTAAATCATTGGCTATAAATATTAATGAAATTAAAAAAGAAATTCCATCTACTTCCACAAAGTAAACTGATAACGAGAGCATGTCTGGATTCAAGATACAAGTAAGATGGCATTTATGTTGCTATTGCACCAGAAAGATTAAAAGGCAAAGTTTGGTATTTCCTAGTTCATATTAAGGCTCAAATCTCTGCTATGCGCACGATAGATACTGGCTTATAACTAGAGAAAGCCATTGAGACAACATTGAGATACTATTTCCTGTTAACTTGGTTTCGTTGTGACTTCTGTAATATGTCCAGCTCATCCCCACTCGTATCTGCCTGGAATTTGTGAATGCACAGGTCTGTGTATGTAGTATGTAACGGCGTGGCTTTCTGTTTGTAATCATATTTATATACATTTTTCTACATATATTAACTCTTTTGATCTGCTAATACAAACAATAACTTCTAAGAGAGTGTAAAAATCTAATAAAGCAGCCACAGCAGCAGCTGGAAAGAAACAAAGACAGAAAGATGGTATATGGTAAAGTTAAAACTAGTGACTGGCAACGGGCATGTTAAGACCGGCTGGTGCATACACTGAGAAGTGTAGAGAAACAAAAGATTAAGTGGGCCAACACACACACACACACACACCCCAGAAACAAGAGATGAGGACAACAAAATATAGCCAATAATAATAGTTATACAAATAAGAAGCATCTGTGGGTAAAATGAGAGCCAGGAATGGGAAATAGAATTAATGGATTTTTGAAGATTTCTTGGAGTTCATTAAGCTGGAACCATTTTTAATGCATCCTGACCATGAAGGAGGAGGCAGAAGGAATGCCTGAGCAGCCAGCAATCTCGGCCCGTCCATGGAGGGGCGTGGTGCCCACAGGCAGCAGAGCTGACCAAGGTGTGGTATCGAAGCCATCTCTGGCTATTGATTATTCAGCTGAAAGACATAATAAGGCCAAGGAGTGAGAAATTCCTGTGACCCTTAGTGGAGACCCGAGTGGAACTGGAATGATATGTCTACTACTCTCAGTAGTCACAATGTGCTCTGCTGTTCTTTTCTGTTTCAGTCTTGTCACTCTAGTGGAGGCCCTAATCACCTAATATGTGGATTTTCACTGTGGCCTTTCATTTCTTATTCTCTTTCAGATAACAAGCCAGTGTCTTAACCATAACCCACAAGACCCTGTAGGATCTGGCCTTATCTCCACCCTGTGCACTTCACTCCCCACACTGGCCCGGCCCCTGCTCATGCCTCTGGGCCTCGCACTCGCTGTGCCCTTTGCCTGGAACACTTTCCCCCAGAGACCTGCAGGGTGAACTCCCTCGCTTCCTTCTGCACTTGTCAAAATCTATCTTTCCAGTGAAGCCCTTCCTGGCCAACCTGTCTACAACTTCAGCTTTCCCTTATTCCTGGTATTCCCTCTCTCCAGTTCCCTCTTTAATTTTCTCTTCGGCACTTATCTCCATCCACGTATTGAGTATCGTACTTATCTATCTTGTTTATGTCTGTCTCCCGCAGGGGCATGTAAGTGTGTGCACATGAGCTCCATGAGATCAGAAGCGTTTTTTAATGTTTTTGTTCACTGCTGTGTCCCCCATGCCTGGGACAGTGTCTGCCACCTAGTAGGTAGGTGCTCGGTGTTTATCGGCTGACTGAATTCATAAATTCCTCATCTCATTTCCTCTTATCTTCTTCCTTCTGCTCTCAGATAGTGCTGCATACTGTCACCAGATTGAATTATTATTTTTGGCCACATTAGCCTCAACAACTCTCTTGGTCCCTCATTACCTAGTAGGCTAAAGTTTGTCTTTCTCAGCCCGGATTTAAGGCCTTTCGCAACCTTATCCCAGTCCACCTGTAGTGCATAATCTGTGTCACCCAGCCAGAGACTTCTGTTTGGGAAGGCTGGCCTCCTGGCTGGCCCCAGTTCTGTCTGTTTTCTTCCTGCCCCTACACCTATTACCCAAAGAAACATCCCACGATTTAAGTCGCCTGTAGATACAGGTGGCATTGCATGAGCAGCAGCAACACGGACTTAACCATTCCTGACTCTACTCATTCGTGTAAGCCTCCTGTCCTCTGGAAAACAGCCTTCCTGTCAGGTGTGCCCGGAGCTCCCCAGAGATGCCTGGTCTGCGCTCACAGTGGTCCGCCTCCACCCTATTTTTCCTCTATGTATTATCAAGAGGACTTCTATTCCTCAAACATTTGGGCTGCCTCATTACCACTTCTTTTGGGCTTTCCCATTATGAGAATGTCTATGTCTTAGTGGGTTTTTTTTTTTTTTATCTCCTAATGTTTCCAAAGCCCTCAGTTCTGGTGGTGCTCGTTTGAAGGTATAAGTAGGGAGAAAGCCCAATTCTGGAAGCCCTTTCTTCTCTCTCCCCTCTCTCTTTTCCTTCCACATTATCTGTGTCAGGCAGTGTTCTTGATGTTGGATTATAGTAGTATGGAAAGACACTGAGGAATCTGCACCTTCTTATAACTCTACAATTTCTAACCCCTGGGCCTCTCAGGAATGGTCTGTGTTTGCCATTTCTCTTGCAGCTCCTCACAATTCGGCTCCTCTGGCGTCTTAACACAGCCAGTGTCCCCGCTCCCCACGTCTGCGGACACCCCACTCCTCCTGGACCCCCACGGCCAGGCACACCATTCAAATTTCCACTCTCCTCCGCCAGCCTCGTGCCCAACAGCTCATGCAGAGGGATACCCGTGAGCCCAGAAACTGTCCACCACCAGACATGCCAGAGCGGGTCTCAGTTCCTTTTTGGAGGCATCAATGTCTACTATTAATACATAGAGAGACTTTGGATCTTTTCCCTGCTGGAATGTCTTTGATTTTCCCAAATGTAAGCATCTTTTAAGACCAAATTCAAGACTTTGCTTTCTCTGTGAGACCCTTTTAACTGACTCAGGCTCCTTGATTTTACTTACTCTAAATGATAGCTTTTATTGTCCGAGCTGTTTTGAGCATTTAGCTGTGTGTGGCTCTCTTCTGTTACTGACCCTTTCCCTTCACGTCCCTCTTGTCTGCCCAGTGGCTTGCCAGCATCTCCCAGGAGGAAAGAAGCTTCCTCTTTGTATCCTGCACGGCTCTCACATTGCCTTGTACACATAGGGGTGGTTGAAATGATTTGTCGACTAGATTTCCATAAATGTATTTCGGAAGATTCAGTGGCTAACAGACTGTTTCAGCCGTATGGAAAATTCAGTGATGTAGTATACCTCGGACCACCATGACTCCAGATCCCCGGCGTATATGGACTTAGGTGTGTTGGTGCATATTTGAGCATTGCATGGATATTTTGGCGCACTCCTTTGTAAGAGTGCCCTACCCAACCTGCAGTTGTTCCTGCTACTTTTTCTTTCAGCTATTCTGAGGGCATTGTTTATCATCAAGGGCGTTGATCGTGGGGCTATCTCAGAGGGATTCAGCTCACGCCAGGCCCTTATCTGCCCAGAGGACGCATTGCCCAAACACAAGGGGTCGTGACTCAGGAAGGCCTGTTCTCCCACGTGGGCCAGCGCTGCGCAGGCACAGGGCTGGGGCCTTTAACACAGTGCGGGGAGTCTTAGGAGAGCTCTGAGCTTCCACTCAGCTCACAGACGCCTTCAGCCAGGTGGCATCTCTGCTTCTTGGTCTGAGATCATGAGATCTCATTGTCACAGACAGACTTAATGATATACCGAGGCGGATAGGGGTGTGCTGAAACTTAAGGTAGCCACCCTCTTGGTTTGTCCAAAATATGCCGTATTCTGTTGCAGAGAAAAAAGGAGCCCTCATGAGTGACAGTGGAGGCGGGGCTTCAGCCCTGAAATCATGTTAATGGAACTTGCAGATAATGTCATTCTTCATTTTTCCGAATGCCAACATACAGATTGCATCCCAGGCTCCCTGGGGGAGCAGAATTGGCCAAGTATGCTTGTCATTTCTTCTAATTAGGTTTTTAAATAAATCAAATAACTCTTGTTTTCATTTACCTTGGATTATACAGCAGCAATGTTCTTGTTTATGTTGCGCAGAGAAGCAATCCCCTCCCAAAGGACAAAGGATTCCTGACATTCTAAAGCTCAGGAAGTTTCCTCCCCTCCACTTGACTAAGCATTCCATCGGCCCCACCCTGGGAGAGGAAAACAGCTCAGCCTTGCCTGGGTGGCATCCCCCTGCTGCCTGCCCCTTCCTCCTACACACTGCTGTGGATGGAGCTGTGTGCTCTAAGAGGGGGCAGGAGGACACTGTCCTTGCCTGTTCCCAGCCCTCCCTCAGTTTCCAGTCCTCAGGGTGAACCTTCCTGTCTGGGAAGGCCGAGGGGTGGCCTTAAGGAGAAGAAAGCAGGGAGGAAGGTGGGGTAGACCTATGCCCAGCTCCTTTCTGTGGGTTTTTCCCTGCTTTTCACCCCTGTCCCCTTCGGCCCTTTCCCCAGAGTGACTGATCTGCCTGGGTCCCCCTTCTCGACGCTGTGTCCCTTTGCCCACTTGTGGTGTCTTTGCAGGGCCGGGCGGAGTGAAGCGGCGATTCTTTGCATTAGGGCCGTGGGCTCCGGGCTGGGCACTCGGGAGTGAGGTGCTGCACACCCACACTGTGCTCTGGTGGTTTGGGGTCTGCAGCAGGCTGTGCTCTCCTGGGACACGGAGACCTAGGTTTCCACGCTGGCTCTCTTCCTGCCACCTGCCCAGCCTCTCATGTCTGGGATTCAACCTGTGGAGGTGAG